AAAATCAGAATCAACAATCGGAAAATAAACAGAGTGCGAGCCACTAAATAAGAGACGAGAAGAAACATTTCAGACAGTTCCGTGATGCCGATAATTATCACGGGCTCACTTGTCACGTTACGTTAGGATAACCTAATCGTTATGAATTAATATTGAAATAAGCGGATGCTTCACAATGGAAAGCTGTGCTCTGTCGGGCTTCCATGTTCAACATCAAATTTTAATCCATTCGCTTGAACTGAGCACATTGGCAATCAATTTTTTGTTTTTTTTTTTTTTTTTATTGGAAATTGGATAGTAAGTTAATCGCTTTTCAATCCAGTGCTGTTCATAATTTGAAGCATTCTATGTAATGCGATATTCACATGGCATCTAGCATATAATTTACTTTTTTTCTATATACAATCATATTCACATAACATCTATCTGAGTTTTATTCTCGATAACTTGATAAAAATTACTTCCAAATAGCTGAAAGTCTGCTTGGAATAAATAGCTGTTAAGAATCTTATTTTCAACACATATTTAAACAGAAATTAATTCCGCATTATATATTGATTATAAAATTAAAACTAAAAGATTTTAATTGGTTTAATTTAGGTAAATCGCCTTACCCTTTAATAAAGTAGATCAGAGTATATTTCGGTAGTTATTATTTGCTTCTGTTTACCTATAATTATGTATAAGTACGTCAATAATCACCAAGAATCATTAATGAATTTTTTAAATCTATAATTATAGATCACTTAAAAGTCAGTAATTCTAATGACTGATTGAACAGTAAAAATTTTTAATTATGGTTCAAAAATATGTCAATTAAAAAAATAAAATATTTATCTAATTAATTTGCATAAATTTCGGTTATGATATTTTCAGACAACAAGAGTTACTATGCTTTTACAACCAAAAGTATTATTTGTATTTAATACATTAAAATAATGTATAATTAATATTATAAAATTATTCAAACATCTACATTTTAAACATTTTTAATTTATCTAAATTACAATTTTCATAAAATATCTGTTTCTAACTACACATTATAATTTATGTATTATATCTTACATACTTATTAATAATACATATATTTATTATTATGAAATGGAAATATAGAAAAAACCATAATTATCTATTCTCCACAATATATATGTCATGGATATACATTTTAATAAATCTAATATAAGATCTCAATAATTTACTATTAATTTACAATTATTATGTTTACATTAAATCTTTATAATAATATTATTTAAATACTATATCCATATTACTAATTACCATAAAATATTTTCAAAAAATTATTCTCTAAACTTGCGTAAAAACTATAAACTAGAATTTATAAATATATTAATTCAATTACAACCTTATAATTTAATATTTAGATTTCAAAAATTTTGTACGCACTCCAATCATATTCTAATCAACTTTAATAAAAATCAATGAATTATTTGTTTGAAATTGTAACATTATTTTATTAAAGAAAATACGGTTCTCTATAATTATAAGTATTCTTTAATAATGTAATAAAATATTTTGTATTAGAAATTAATGTAGATAAATATATTACAATATTTCAAAGCAACATAGAAATTTATCATATCTTTGTTATTAATTAATAATGTAGTGAACAAGAAGCCACATTTGAAACTTCGGCAAAGTTTCTCGGTACATAATTAATTAATTTTTACTTCAGATTATTATTTAATATTAATATCAATAATATAATTTATCAATGTTCTAATTCTATATTAATGTAATTAAAGATTTAGAAAATATGAATATCTTATTTAGTTATATAAGTATTGTAATTATATTTGATAATAGAGGTTATTGGATTAGCATTTTGAGAGTTTTTTTTATTAAGTTTAGAATTTAAAATTAAATTTGTATTAAAAATAGAACCATTATATTATAAATATAATAATTCATAATTATCTAAGACTATAGTCATTTAAAATTTTAAATTATTACCAAACACTTTATATAAGAGAATGTTTTCAATATTGTTAGTATAAAAATTGTAAAAAGTACTAATATATATTTACTAATATAATTCCAGATACATAGATTTTCTTAATTTAGCAATCGAATTTATTACTACTCAATTATATTTCCTAAATCATTATTATGGCATCTGCAAAACAAATACTTTAAATAATATAAATTCATAATAGGATTTAAATGGTTCACATAATTATAGGGTGACAATGATTAAATATGAAACTATGATTGTTGTTGCATCCACTAAGAAAAATCTAAAATTATAAATACATCAAAAACTAATTAAATTGTACTTCAATATCGTTGATACGAAAATACTTTTTTCTAAATACAGAATCTATAAATACTAAAATAATAAAAAAATAAAAATATTTGATTAATCGTAGACACAGAAAGGTTAAAAAGTAAAGTTATATATTGATTATTATATATTATTTCAAATTATTGTATTTTAGTTTTAATAAAATATTTTAAAAGTTTAGATTATATTCATTGTCGATTATATCTCATTGTCAATATTATCTTCGTTTTTACTTAAAACATCCATTTTTAGTCATAATTATAAATGCAATAAAATATCCACAGAATTATAATCGTTTTGTTTCAATTGTATCAATACAATTATTGAAATTGCATATATTTTATTATATTGTTCTACAAAATATAAATGCATCATTTTTTAATTTACATTAGAATATATTAAAAGTTACTTAAGCATTCATATTGTAATATGATAACTTGAAACAAAAAAGCATATAGATTAAAAAAGGTAAGGTAAGGGTTTAATAATAATTCAAAGAAGTGTTATTCAAAATTATTTGCGAATATGCTTGTACAGAACTCGAAAAGGCATTGAGGTCATAGTAAGCAACCGCAACCAAAGCGATTTCCAATCTATTCTAGCTGTATGTGCAAAGCGAAAAATATGTAACAGAGACGGTATAAGAACGGTAGTAGAAGCAGCTATAAGTATAAAGAGAATAAAGAAATGAAGCCATAATCCAGATTCGAAAAAAGGCATTCTGGGCCATTGACACTGTACTCGTTATGGATTCTGAGACTGGGCGACGAAGAAAAAGGAAATGAGCATTATAGGAAGTAGGAGTCGTTGACGACAAAAGTTACACAGACCCAAGAGGTTAAAGAACCAGGTCGGCCGGGTGCTTTGTAGCTCAAACATAAGAGAGAGAGAGAGAGAGAGAGAGAGAGAGAGAGAGAAACGCAGCGACATTCCGTTGTTGATGCTGCCTTTGCCGCTCAAGTTAATTCAGAAAAATTTACTATTTCGCTCACTTGTTCTTTTTTATTGTTTTTTTTTCCAATTAGAGCAAAGTATTAAACGTTTCTTATTCAAAATCCCTTTTTTTCAATACAGTATCCACTGCAACGATATTTTAGTGCATAATTGTGCCTTTTTGAAAACGTAAATTAATTTTTATAATTGAGATTTATAATTGAACTTGTAACGTAGTTTTCGAAAAAGATGGATTCAATAACTGTCCATAATAATTAATAGATGAAGTTTATCGCCAATAAAAAAATTAATCTAGTATTTTTTCCTTAATTTTTTATTTCATGGTCAATATTTTAGGACAATAAGTAAAATACTATTTTTATTTTTAGGTATTATTAAATACTAGTCATTATTCTAATCTGAATCATAAATTCATTATTTTCTTGAAAGAAAAAAAGAAACATATCTTATTAAATTATACTAATAATTACTAAATCAAACACCCAGTGATACCAAATAGCCAGTAAGGTATAATTCAACCATTCATTTTATACATTCAAAGAAACCAATAAAGATAAAACGAGAGAAGCATACAGATTTAATGAAATATGAATGTAATTTTTAATAACTTAAATACAAAGTTAAATATAAAGAAAAACATTAAAAACTTAAGATAAAAATAATCCGAGTCAATTTATAGAATTAGTTTTCTTGAATAACTTCATATTAATTCATATATGCTTTATATCTTGTATTAACTTTTAGAAAGGCGAAATAATAAAATTTAAATAAAATTTTATTCCATTGGATTCGTCACGAACTACATGAATTAAATGATAAAAATACCTATTTATTAAAAGAATTAATTTTATATATAAATAGAAAGCAACAAAACTGTTTAAACTGAAATTAATTTTCTACTTGTAAGAATCAATTATTAATCTTGCATTTGTAGTTGCATATATCATTATGCAATAAGTAAATAAATACTTTATAATAATAATAATAATTGTTATGTATCTTTATTAATAATTGTGTACGAAAAACTGCGAGAAATTGTGAAATGAAATATAATACTGTGTTCCTTCAAAAATATTAAATTTGCAATAACCATTAATAATAACTGAAATTATATTTGCGAAAAATGATTAAATAATTTTAATCATTTACAGTAAATAATACTTATATAATTATAATATAATATAATATATATAAACACTATATAATATATAATATAATATAAGCTATCTTGGAATTAGTTAGCAAACTAATTTCCGATCAATCAATTCATTAATCAACTCCTAAAATATTCAATCAAGCATTAATTCAAGAACAATACTAAAATCTTAAAATAATTAATATAAAGAATAAAACATCATTAATTTATACACGTGTATTTGTACATGAGATATGTCATTTCTATACATAAATTTTTGAACATTGAATAACAAAATTAATTTACGCTATATACTATTAAATTAGGCGTTTTACTATAACTCGAATGATAAAATAAAGAAATATTTCGCTTCATTTCTAATATTACAGGTAATTATTCCTTTTCGCAAATAACATACTAGAACAAATAAATAAATTTTAAAAATAAGAATGAGCTGGATAATAGTAAAGATGGCAATGAAACATGAAAGCACACCTGAAGACATTGAGCAAAAAAGAAATAGAAGAAACATAAGACGTAAAAAAAAAATAAAAAAATAAAAACAACTAAACAGAAAATGCGGGTACCATCTATTACAGTTACACTTACCGATGGTAAAGCAACAACAAGGTTAGCATTTCCTTCGCCTCGATAGACGCATCCCTCAATCGGCAGAGAATGAACCAAATATTGCGAAGCATCGGCAGTTGTGGAAATGGATGCCACAGTCATATTCTGCTTTGATAACGCGCTTTTTTCATGTTCGAAAATCATTATAAAACCTGAAAATAATAACGGGCCATGATATTTTATTATTATTATCAATATGATGAATACTACTGGATCAATTCATTGAATAAGTTATGTAAAAGAATCACAACTAGAATTATCTGAAAATTTTTTTATTCATTAGATTCTAATATAATTTAAATGATAATTACACTAAAAACCTACGGAGTTTGAAATTTGATTTTATGCATTGAAATATATTTATTATGCAGTAAATAGTACATATTTTTATTTATTAAAATTATACTTTATTTTATTTAAATTAAAAAATTAATTTTATTAATAAAACACTCAAGCATAAGAAGTCTAAAAAAAATAATTACTTCTTTTACAAAACCTGTGTCAAAAAGCATTCAGACAGAATAGTTGTATAATATACATTATAACTTTATTCTCGATTCTTCTTCGATGTTAACGACCAGAAATTTTATTTATGTATATTATAATATACATATATTTAATATACATTCATTGAAAGACTTTAAAATATATAAAGTAATTGTATATTGCTGATTATTATTAAATAAAAAATAATGTTAGTTCTCTTACAATTTTTATCATACTTTATACTTTGTGCGATTTTTATATTATTTATAAATATATTTCAAGAACATTTGCCGTTTGTAAGTGAAATGCCGTTAAAAATCATATTAAAAGTTTGTACAAAAGTACTTTAAGAAAACTAATTTAATTATATATTTGTAGTCATAATAATGTATCTAATAATATAATTATAATTTAAAAAAAAAAAAACAAATAAATTGAATAAGATACAAATTATAAATTAATTTAGGATTTAAAGTACTTTTTCAAATAGTATTTAAATTTAATTTTATAGTACATTTTCGTAAGCATAACTTAAAAACTATTGCTTTTATGACTGCACTAAATACAATGCCAATTCCATCCCTGCGCTTACGTAATTAAATTAACTTTAGTTTACAAGTACACATTTAAAACTATTTAATGATTTATATCTTTCAAAATATACTAAAACTTTATTGTGAATCAAATCATTTAAAATCATAGAACTAACATTTTATATAATCTTCAATCGTGCATTAATATTTTAATTAATTTAATTTTATTGATCTTATTTTTTCTTCCATTTCGGTACATAATTTAAAAATTTTAATTAATTCAATTAATTTAGTTTTTATCAAGTTAAAACCTTTATTATCATTGCATAAATTGTGTTTATTATATTACAACAAAGCAAAAACAACCGTTATATATATATATATATATATATATATATATGGCATTTAAATATGTATTACTTCAATCTGAAACAACTGTTGCTTAAAGAACGCGAATAAAATTAAAAAAAATTATTAACCTAAATAATAATTAATAAATAATTAATAAATAATGCCCATTAATTCTGTTCTACAACTCTTTGTTTATTCTACATTTGCAGACTTCATCGTTTTGGGGAATTCTATTTACTGATGTTATATTATATTGAGTACAAATATATAATGCAATAATGGCAGCTATAAACTATGAAATTATTACACTATAGCATTGATTAGTTGAAGAATAAATAGAGGACAACAAGGAATGAAAAAGAGCTTTGAGCCTCTTATGAATTCAATTATCTACACTAATGATTATATTGCTCTCAATTTCGTATCATTTAAAAAATTATCATCCTATAAGTGATTGGAACTGAAATAACAATAATAAAATTACAAAAAATTAAAACGAAGACGAAATTAAATTTTTTTTACCTAGTTTGTATAGCTAGTTTTTACACCTATACTTCTTTATTCTGGCATAGGTTTTTGTAAGGTTTTCTCAATATTGTAAAAAATTACCATCGACATACTTATTCTTGACTTTCAGATGACAATAACATGTTTGTCCTGTAACTTATAGTTCCGTAGCTTTAAATAATTACTCACAAAAATGCTGCATCAGTAGGCATTAAATAATGTCATCAAAAATATATTTAAATTATTTTACAATGCCAATAAGCATAAGTTCAAATAATAAAATAAAATCACTATGAATAAGATAATAAGTATATAAATCTCCTCTATAAGTACATGCATCTCACGCTTACATTAATTTTATTATAACAGATAATTCATTAGAGTCCAATGAAATTGCAATTCCATATGTGATTTTATTAGATCCTCCCAGACAAATGTACTGTAATCCTTTTAATCTTAATGTATTTTGTATCTTATTTAATCTTAATGATTTTACAATCGAGTCTGTTATGCAATCAATGTAGTTAACATGGAGTTTCATAAATACAATTTGCTTACAATTGAATTTGCTAATGTTTTAAATAATAAATATTAGAAGCTTATATAAAAAAAAACAAAGAAGAAAACTATTAAGTAATTTTCTTATAAAATAAAAAATCTTTAGCTCTAAAATCTTTAACTCTAAATAATATTAATAATAAATTATGAGTCTAATATTGTGGCAATTCTATTTCGTCAATTTACTGTTTTATCTACTATGAAAAGACTTAATGAAATATTTATAAAATTCAACGAGCTATATTTAAGAGTGCTATAATTGTCTTTATAAGAAAATTTTTATTTTATTGCATTGGTTCGCTGTTTGGTAATTATAAATTTTTAAAACTCATAACCATACCTCATTTAATTAGATAAAAATAATTGAAAATTTTTTTTAAATGTATTAGATATATTACGAAAGCAATAACGTTATACAAATTAATAATATGTTTGTTAACGAATCCATCCCATATTGTTGCAGTGACAGCACAAATAAGCCAACCCTAAAGGTTGAACATAATATTTGAAAAATAAAAATTAGTATACGTATAAAAGTTTGAATTAACTTTAATGGCAAAACCGAGCGATTCATTTGGAAAAAGCCAAGCCGCTCATAAGCAGTGACGGTCGTAAGTAAATCTTGTTAAAGCGAAACGTTGCAGTTAAATTCGAACAAAGCCCTTGCGCACCAAACCAACGGCGAATGTTTCACCACGTCCATTTCCCACGGCCGACTCACATGCACTCCGATGATCTCGATTAAAAGTAAGGATCTTAGCCTCATTCACTCTCATTGCAGAAGCATATCGATCGATCAAAGCGAGTGCTATCGCTTTACTTCCGTGCTGAAAACGTCCTCATATCCGCTCGCGCTTCTCGCACAAAGCACCTCGAGAAGGCCAAGGCGCATGCTGAGAAGGAAGGACCTAACTCGATTATATTTATACATGCAGCACTTTAGGTCGTGTTGCCAGGCCAATTATTCGTATTATCCACTTTTGCGCAAAGGCCAACGACCGCAGACGCTTGAACTCACTCGCTACTGCGCGTACGCTCCTGTGTACATAACGAACAAGGCAAATAGGCGACCGGCGCCACCGCTTCACTTCGTTTCCCTCTACTTTTTATTATTGTATAAGAATAATATTGTATAAGAAATCGTCGATGAGAAGACGGATCCTCCTGCCTTCCCTACATTTTTTCACTCGTTTTATTATTACAAATCATCGTGATCGATCCCTTCTTTAATTCCTTTTTTCTCCATGCGTAGCCCCCCCCCCCCAATTGGAAATCGGAGCAACTTTGTTAAAACGTTGCATTAAAAGAGTAGTTTCTAGCATAACTTAGAACTATTCATTCACACGGCCGTCACTGCTGAAAAAGCGCAGTTACAAATATTAAATTTAGTTTCTGTTGATTATCAAAATGTTGTCTATCAGAGACCCATTTTTAGCAGCTACGTTCGAACTCGGTCTAAGCCATTATTATTATGACTGTCGTTTAAGAACTACTCTACTTAAAATGGCTTATGTACTTCGGGAGATTCATATTTCTTAAACTCAACTATCTTTCACTTGCGAAGGTCAATCAATAACGTATTTCTATAGCGTTATCACCAGTTTACGTATTTCACGCTATGTGTTGTAAAATGCTCGAAATTTTTTATATTTTTGATAATGAAAGAAATTTGCAGCAAGATCTCATAAAACTCTAGTAATTGGATAATATTCAATTTTTTTCTTATTTTAAACTAATTGTTTTAGATAAGATAAATTATTATAAAATCTTAAAAGAAATATAACAACAAATTTTAAATGCAATTGTTTATTATTAGATGTGTAACAGAAAATAGTATAAATAATGATATTACATCATCATTAAATTTAGACAAATATTCTATCTATTGTTTTACATTATAATAGTTGCAAACAATAAGGGAACATGAATAAAATACCTACTAATTGTGTGATATCTAACAGAGCATACAACTATTAATAGCATACTGAAATAATAGATCGCTTATTAAAAATTATTCAATAAAAGAATTTAGTTAAAATTATAGAAAATTATATAATGAATTATCAGGAAAAATTATTTTAAAGAATATTTTCAATAATAAAAAATTAATATTTTCATACGTCAATATTATATCATAAACAATAATATATGCATATAAAGTTATTCTTATGCTTCGTATTGTTAAATAAATTAAATGCGACACTAAAAATTTTTAATTTTTACATCGATAAAAAATATGTTATACAAATTGTGCAATTAAATTAAAAACATGTGCAATTTCAGACTACTTGAACAATAAAAATAACATAACTTAGAATATGCCCTTAAAATGGTTATTTAAAATGGTTTTTACGTCTTAAAATTATAAATATAAATGGTTTTTTTAGCTTATAATCTCTAATTTAGATCTGTGTTTATTCAATTATAAGCATAAACATTTAACAAAATATAAATGTTTATTGTATAGTAAAAAAATAATTTAATATTATTCTACATCTAATAGCAATAATATCTACCTTGTATAAAAAATCAAGTAAAATGTTTTCAACTTAATTCTAATCTACTGGTGGGGGTTAGTATGTACTCATGTACGTACGGGCGCGTGTGCAAATATAAATAAGAAAATAACATATTAAAATAATTACATTTCTTATTTAAAAGTAAACCAAAGTCAAATAAATTAAAGATTTTGTTTCTCTACTTAAACATTAAT